GGTTGTCTAGGAATGAATGATGGACGGGGTAAATCATACCGCAATTGTACATCAACATTGGCATCACCACCAGAGTAGCAGTAGCAGCAGTAGCAGCAGCAGTACCACTACTGGAGGGCTAGAAAAACGGAAAACAGACGTGTTCCAGATCCCCTTTTCCCGCCTTCCTCCCAAACACAACCTAACCACCTTACCGAACTACCCGACCCGGGTAACTACCTTGTCAATGATGAGGCCCTTGGTCATGTAGTCCCACTGGAAGTCCAACCGACGCAGCTCCTCGGGGTATCGAAACACCTCGACTAACTTGGACACGGTTTCCTTTCGTGTACGCGCGTGCGTGTGTGTGTGTGTGTTTCGGAGGGGAGGGAGGAGAGGGGAAAAGAGAGGGGAAAGAAGTGGGGGATCGAAGGAGGTTTGGGTGGGGGCGGGAAACGCGGGTTGAGCAATCGACCCACGGGTCGGTAAGAGATGACCTGGGGGGAAAGGCCTTGAACGGGTTTTTGTCTTCGTCCTGCTTTCCTCCCCCCCCCCGCAATCAACCCCCCGGCAACATACACACACGCGCGTGTAAGTAGAGCGAGCATGTGAGCGCGTGTGTGTGTGTGTGTGTGTGTTTTACGTTCTCCCTAAGAGTGCGGCGGCCCTAGGCACGAGTTCAGTTCAGGTTTGAACTTCCTGCTCATGGCGAGTGGCGCGAGTGGTGCCGTTCGGTGTCTCTCACTTTATGCGCAAGGCCCTCGAAGGTGTCCGGCTTGTACTGCGCCAACGTGTAATCCATGTCGTACCCGATGGCCTGCAGAGAGCAGTACGACATCTAAACATCCATTCCCATATTGCCACAAGAAGTGAAAGCAAACGCCAAGTACGCCAAAGAAAATAGTGCTGAATAACCCATCACGACAATTACATGAGCCCGGGAAGTCAAGCCGTTTGGCAAAATCCAGCAGCAATAGCAGGAGCAGCAGAAGACGAGCACGAAAATGTACAGCATGTACAGCGATGTACCGCACGATGGCGTTTGCTGTTCCGCCAAAAAATTATTTTCCACACACGCACATACAGAGATACTTTCACACATTCCCAAGAGCACGCATACAAACAGACACACAACACCGTAACGCAAGCACACACACACACAAACATACGCACGCCCCTTGCGGATAGCCCCGCCACGCTGGGCACAGCGACGCAAGTTCGCCCTACCCCCCCCTACCCCCATGTCTCAACTTTTGCCGGCCCGCCCCCCCCGATGTGCTTTGTACGTCGGCATTTGTCTTTCCGGATGCATCGGAGGAACAATAGTTGACATTTCCTGATACAATAATAAATACAATATATAATAAAATAACATAATAATGCAATATAATAATAGAATGTTGCAATACGATAACATAATAAATATAATATATATATATTATATATATTATATATATATATATTTTTTTTTTGGCATATAATTCTTCCCCTCGGATGTGGGGCTACCTTACCCCACACCCAAACACTCAAGAGAGCAAAAACGCCGGCGGCGCCGCGAACAGCATACACCCCACACACCTTTATTTGCTTCATGTTCAAAGCCCGGTTGCAGAATATTCTACGCTGTACGGGCAGTCGGGGTAGCGGCGGAATGGGGTCGTCGGTCCACAGCGGCACACTGCCCCGCCGGGGGGGCGGATGGCTCCCGTAACCCTGGGAGGGGGTGTTCGCGGGTGGGGTGTGGGGGTTTTGGGGGGAAAGACGAACCACACACGAGTGAAGCTGCTGCCAGGGCAAGAGTGTACCAAACGTAGAACTGACCGAACGTAGAACTGACCGGGTTTTGGGGGGGGGGGCCGAGAAGAGGAAATGGGAAACCGGGGGGTTAAGAACCTGTGAACTGAGAACAAGACACGGGTTGGGACGGTTTTTGTACGCGCGCGTGTGTGCATGTGTGTATTGGCGTGTTCGTGTACGCACGTCGTGGTTCGGGGAACCGGGTGCATTGATGACCCAGTTCGAAACTATACTCTCCACGTACGGGTTGAGAGCTAAAGAACTAGAGAGTTCAAGGTGTGACTGGATTTTCATGCCTGTGTGGTTGTTGTACAGTGGTGTGAGCCAAAGGGAGACTTCCATACGCTGGAATGAATGCGTATTCATACAGAATACAGGAAGAGGGGATAGGAAGGAGCGAAGGTGACGGGGAAATTGAATGCCATACCTTCGTCGCTGAGATGTGACGCTGTGGGGGTTCGCGTTGCGTCGCTGGGGGAAGCGGGCTGGGCGAGGTGCTTGCTGCAGCTGCGGCCGGCTGCTCAGCGGCAGACGGTGTCTGTGATGCGGACTGTGATAAGCTGCTGGTGCTGCTGCTAGCGGCGCCATTTGCGCTGTCGCGTGCCACGTATGGCAGCAAGCGACGGGACCTAGGAATGCGGGGGGATTGCGAGGGGAGAACAAAGAGCAAGCAACATAGCAAGGATGGAGGGATGAGTCAAGATTATTTTTCTGTACTACTTACATGCAACAGTACTTAGATGCAAGCAACTGCTAAGTGTCCGGTTGACCGGGTTGCCCATGGCGCAAACCTAATCACCAAGGCGAAATCATCAACTTACTCTGAAAGTGACCCCGAGGAAGAAAGTGACGTGGACGTATGCCAAAGTGGCTGCAGATGTGCCAAGCGACGCGTGTGGCGCCAGACCCTGCCGGAGAGAGGTCCCGACATTGCCGGGACAGGAAGGCTTGCTGACGTTTGTTTGGGCGTCCAGCTGACCATCACGTATCCTGACTGCGTTGATGCGAGTTGTAGGCCCAATAGAAGTCACGCGAGCGTTGGACCCGCTGCGAGATGAAGACCAACTAGGGTTGCATTCGCTATGATCCAAAGGATCGCTTATGATAGGAACGCATGCGCCGATGTAAGCGCCAAAGGTGGTAACACTGAAGCCCTAACTTTACACACAGGCAAGTTGTACCAACGTGCAAACTATGAGCTCGAAGGACCGAAATCAGATATTTTTCGAAATCAAGGCATAACTTTAAACAAACAAACCAAAAGCAGCGTAATCAAACAGCAACAAAGAACATCGCGGGTATATCGCATATGCCGACCCGTCCGTACGTCACGACGCTCTCTGCAAGCTCGGTGACCATTATCAAAACAAATTTCATGATACTTTCACAGGTGCATACTGTTAGCCTATATACAGTTCAAACCATCACATCCATTTTCGCAAGTCCCATACGTTTCGCCCGGTCCTATTCACCCTAAGTAATCCACCTCGCACCGTCAGCAGTTGCCACCGTCAGCCCATCATTCTTCCCTGCCTTCCTTAGCTCTCCACCGCTCCCCCTCTTCCAATTCCACCACACATATAGTGGACGCGAGGAACCCGCAAAGCAAGCTAACCACGCGACCCGATAATCCATCAGAGTTCTACAACGCAACACTATTTTCCCTGTCGTATCACGACTATACAAGGATTACAAGAAAAAAGTACGGATCAGCACGGAGGTCAGATCTCGTGGTGATGTACGGCCTACAGGATACATTGCTTTCCCGACCATCACACCACCAGCTCTAAAAACACACCAAAACACACACCAACACCCGCCGCCATCCACTTTTTCCCCCCTTTTCCCCCGGCCATTCATGACCACGAATCAAAATTCCCATACCCGCCCCCAACCACTTTCTTGGCCTTTTTAGCAAGTGGCTCCTCAGCGTCACCATCCCGCCGCTGCTCGTCCACGACAACTGGGCCTCCTCCTGTCACCGCTACAGCTACAGCTGCTGCTGCTGCCGTCGCAGCGGCGTCATCTATAGCACACGGACGTTGCTGCGGTTGTTGTTGTTGTTGTTGTTGTTGTTGTTGTTGTTGTTGTTGTTGTTGTGAGGAAGCCGGTTCTTCCTGGTCCTTTCGCTGCTGTGATGACGGTTGTGGCGGTTGTCGGTTGGACAGCAGCGCCGCGTTGATGTACTTGCCCACGCCGCTCCGTACGGGCTGAGGTGGCGCCGTACTGCCACCCTCGCCGGCGGGCCCGCTAGCAGCAGAGGGTTGGCTGTACCAGGTGCCGATCTGCGCGGGCGGGCGGGTGGCCGTCAAGCTCACAGACAGACAGACAGACATCAGATAGACAGACAGACAGACAGACAGACATCAGATAGACAGACAGACAGACATATCATCAACCCAGCGATATCGATATCGACCCAACACCTCGCCTCCACGTTCATAAGCCGGCAGACCGGGCGGACTCAGCCCGCCCCACCCGCCCCCACCCACCCCGGCCCCGTCATGGCCGTGTCTCCCCTGAGACCTGGACCCACCATCACCCTCACCCCACCCTCACCCTCACCCTCTCGTACCTTATTCGTCAGGGGGTCAGACGCCGCCGCCGCCTCCTTCTCCGCCTTCTTGCGTGCCGCCGCCTCGGCCCTGGCCTCCTCCTCCTCCAACTCGTAAAAGGGGTTGGTGAATATGGTGGCGCCTGTGTGTGTGCCGGGTGCCGGAGAAAGGGGGGAAAACGAAGCACCCGATTCAAACAAGGTAATTGGTAAATCCAAGTTTTGAGGAGGGGAATTTAAACACCCACTATCATTATCACTATCACTATCATTATCATTATCACTATTACTACCACTATTACTACCACTATTACTACCACTATTACTAACTCTATTACTAACACTATCACTATCACTAGCACTAGCACTAACACTCCGCCACTACCACTCCCACGATCCGCCACACACCCACTCCACTACCACACCCCTACTCACTCACCTGTTATGCTGATGGTGATGGTGGGTCGATCCTCCGGGTCCGTGGACACCTTCTCCATTGCCGACAGCACATCCAACCCCCCGACCACCCGACCGAACACCGAATGCTTGAAGTCGAGGTGCCGACAGCTCTTAAGAGGGGTCGGGGTCGGACAAGGAAAGGAGCAGAAGGGGGTTGTAGAGGAGAGGAGACGAGTACACGGCAACACGGGAGTTACGGCAGGAGGCGGCGGGCCAGTTATATGAGAGCATAACTCCAATACAGCATAACTCCTCAACTCTCTCTCCCTCCCTCTCCCTCCGTTTCCCCCCCTCCCCCCACCCCCCACCCCACACACCCACCTTGAAGGTGATAAAGAACTGCGACCCGTTGGTGTTGGGTCCGCTGTTCGCCATGGACAGCACCCCCCTGCCCGCGTGCACCAGTCGGGAGTCCAGCTCGTCGCGGAAGGTGGGGCCGAAGATGGACTCGCCGCCCTTGCCCGTGCCGGTGGGGTCACCGCCCTGAAGGCCGGGGGGGGGTGAGTTTGGGGGGTAGGGGTGAGTTTGGGGGGAGGGGGAGGGGTGAGTTTGGGGTGGAGGGTTGAGTTCTTATAAGGGGGGAAGA